AGATTGTGAAATGAAACACAAAGACGTGCATAAAAACAATGGATAAAATGTTCTTTCTGGAATTGCCATGGACATGAACAGCTCCTTATTTTTCCTCCATCCTTTTAAATGGATGAAAAATCAACATTCCCATAGCATCTCACTTATTTTACTCTCAGCCTGTAGGTAAAGTTCTGAATATAGACCAGTAGTGGGATTCATTTTTTTTTACTACCGGTTCTGTGGGCGTGGCTTGGTGGGCGTGGCAGGGGAAGGATACTGTAAAATCTCCAGTCAGAGGTGGGATTTGCCGGTACTCCGAACTACTCAAAGTTTCCACTACCGGTTCTCCAGAACTGGTCAGAACCTGCTGAATACCACTTCTGATATAGACCTAGGAGATGTTGTTGCATGGAAGACCAATTCATAATGCTTGCAGGTGTCAACAACACCCTTCTGGATGAGTAGCCCAGACATGGGATCTTCCTGAAATCTGTGAAGTCTGTCTTGTCATGTTTTGATCACCAGCCAAGCTTATTGAAGGCTGTTTCCTGCCCACCATGCTCAGCAAGAGCATTTCACAACAACACAAACACAGTTCAAGAGCTTTAGATAGGGAGAACATCTCCACACATCAGGAAGGATGATGCTCAACTGCTTTGTCAGAGACATAATTTATTTTTCAGGCTCATAAAAAGAACTACTTCTTTTTTTTTTTTATAAAAGTTTTATTGATTTTAACAACAAACAAAAAAAAACCACATAAAACATAAAACATAACATAAAAACATCATCATTCTTCATAAATTTACAGACAGTGTATCGGTTGGTTTACCACTCCTTTTTGTGCATCCATTTCATAGTCATCATAATAATTATGTTACATAATAACTCATATTATCAACCAACAATTATATATCCTAATATCATTATTAAACAATCATTTGACTATAATTTTATTAATTCATACTTAAGCAAGATAACTATAATTTAATTAATTTATTTTATAGCAGATCGTAAAATCATGCCAAGTCTATCTTAATAAAATATTCTAAAAATGTTATCAAAACCAAAAAAAAAGTATATTCATTATTTCCTAAGTTTCTAAATATTCTATTATTATATTGTATTATCTAACCATTGGTAAAAAAGATCCCAAACTTCATAAAATTGTTTATCTTCTTGTTCTCTAATTTCAAATGTCAATCTACTCATTTCAGCACATTCCAGTATTTTCTTAATAATTTCTTCCTCTAATGGTATTTTCTCACTCTTCCAATTTTTAGCAAATACAATCCTAGCCGCTGTTAATACATTTACAATCAAATATTTTAAGTTTTTATTATATGTATCAGGTAAGATTCCCAATAAAAAAATCTCTGGTTTCAAATCTATATGTTTCTTTGTCATTTTTTCCAACCATATGCGAATTCTAGTCCAGTATTTCCTGGCCTCCTCACATGTCCACCACATATGGTAATATGAACCAGGAATCTGATGACATTTCCAGCATTTTTCAGATTTGTTCTTGAACATTCTTGCAATTCTTGTCGGGGGAAAGTGCCACCTATAAAACATCTTATACAAATTTTCTTTATATGCTGTTGACATTGTCATTTTGTAATTTTGAGGCCACAATTTTTGCCATTTCTCTAAATCAATCCCATATCCAAAATTCTTCCCCCATAAAAAGAACTGCTTCTGAAGAGCAAAAGAATTTTAGGAATGAAGCCAGTTATGCAAAGAGAAAGTGGGGAACAAATTGCTGCAGGAAAAACAATTTCCTACTACGAAGACTACAGCATCTTTATTTATGGCAATTGGGACAAAACAACTCAATAATAACATTGGCCCTGCTCTGCTCCCCTGTAAACATTTTTATGTATGCATCCTGCTAAAACACTGTAGAACATCTATTGTCCAAACTGAAAGAAAATAAGGTGCAAAATGTAATTTTGAAAGGAGCCAAATATATTCTTTGCAAAAACAGAAATGATCCCTTTTTCAACCAGCCTCCAGCTTCTGTGCTATTCTTATTAGATTATTCAATAATAATAATAATAGAGTATTTACACCAAGACAAATTCCTTGTGTGTCCAATCACACTTGGCCAATAAACTATTCTATTCTATTCTATTCTATTCTATTCTATTCTATTCTATTCT